ATAATAGTTTTCAAATATGCACCAATTGCTTGTTTGCGTTAACATGTGACTGTACATGGTGGTGTAGAAATTTAAAACTTTTTTGTGTTTATTATGTGTCACTTCATTTTTTTTTTTTTTTTTTTTTTTACAGAAGCCCTCTGTGTAATAGCACAGTAGAAGTGACAGGTCTTCTTTATGTTAGACATCTGTTAGACCCCTAATCTCATCTATAGACCATACTGAAGCTGATGAAGCACATATTGTGCTTCACCAGCTTCTTCTCCTGTCTCAGCAACCAGAGGAATAAAAGCCTAAACTGGAAATCTGAGATGAGATGGCTGCAGCATATGTAAAGGGGGCAGCACATTCTCAGCCCCGAATACCAAGATTAAGGCAGCTGCTGCAGCTGTGATCTTGTTCTACCCCCACTTATAGACCATGATGTAGTGGTATAGTCCTTGAAGTGTTACTAAACCCACAAAAGCAAAATCAGTCTGTATATGTAGTAAAGTATGCGTGTTATACTCACTGTGGAACCTAAGAGGTTACTACTCTGCATTGTGTAAAAAGGATGTTTGAACTTGTCTTCTTTGATCCTCCCCTTCTTCTACTGTCCCCAATCCATCTCCTGATAGGACAGAGCCTTGAGGGCAAGCCGCACATGCTTAGTTTGGTGTGCATTGCTAGAGTGTATTGGGAGAGTGCATATGATCACCACAGGGCCAATCAGCACTGTCCAGACAGAGGGTCAGGGGTCCTGAAGCCTCATAGGACAATCAGGGGAGAATGAAAACTCCTCCTACAAGCTTTAACCAATGATGCTCTGATGGGCACTGATAGAAGTCACATGACTTCTGTAACTGCTGAGAAAAAAAATGTATTTAGCTATTTATATTTACTAATTGCATTTCCATGTTCTGTATACTGTGGAAGACAAGATATAGTGAATGCAGGGTCATGGGTTTAGTAACTCTTTAGGTGGTCAATAGATTAGTATATTTTCAATGCTGCTCTTGAAGGAACAAAAAAAGTATTTGTGCGGTATACTGTAAATTAATGATGTTGCAATAGGAATTCGCATGGTTTTAACAAAAAATAGTGTGTGTCTAAAAACTCTAAAATTTCTTCTGATTTCCTATCAATTGCTTATTCTCATTGTCTATCTGTATTTCACATTTCCTATGTCTCTGGTCTATTATAACATTCATTTGGGATTATTTCTATTTTTACATCATTGGAAATGTGCGTATTTGCAGTGAAAGTTTGAAATTGGTTACAGCATAAAAACTAAATTAAAATAAAACCTAAATGCCTTTTTTACTTGCCTAAGTGCTGGCTCACATTAGAATCACACGGCAGGGGAACGCACAGGAATCACACAGGAACGCAGGCTGCATTCCAGTGCATTCCTTTAATTCAACTTCAATGTAATTTGGCAGCCCATCCATTTCAATGGATAATTTCATAAATAAACTGCATTGCTCTAAACCTTCATAAACAAAATATAAAACATGACCATAACTTTGCTATAGCAGTACAAAATAACATTAAAGCTAAGTAATCATAAAACAGTGAATATATCCAAGTGAAAAGTCCCAGATAAAAAAAGTGTAGGTATAAACAAAACAGGTGCTCCACTTCTCAGTGCCTCCAGTGTTCCCTTATAGACAATCACCACAAGTTGTTGACTTACTATTGCTCATCAGGTCAGTAGCGCTTGTGTTTGGGGATATACCCCTAAGTCTCCAATGGCTTGTTCCTATGGATCCTTCTCAGATGTGTACCGTCATTCAAATAAAATACAAGGGAGGATCTCATAGCATAAAACCTTTTGATTTAATTAAAACACATAGAACTACTGTACAAAATTCACACTCATATTTGTAGGTGCCTATGAGAACCGGCACTGGGTATGTAAGGCTTGCAAAGGGAGGGAAAGATGGCCGTGGCTATGCATGTGTAGAGCACCAGCGTCTGTTCCAACAGGAATATAGGATTATTATTATTATACAGGATTTATATAGTGCTAACAGTTTGTGCAGCATGTAGACCATGCATACTACAGATAAGAGGATATGGCAGGGCATCAGATCACTGGAAAAGGAAAACGATATAGTGATTCATCCTGCTGATAAGGGTGGGGGGATAGTAATATTGAACAAAAGAGATTATGAGGCAGACATGGACTGTATTCTCAGTGATGAGAGCACTTATAGAAAAGTAAAGGGGGGGGAGCGGCATACCTCATTAAAAATTACTTCAGTTCCTAAAAAAAAAAACAAATGTGTCAAAAAGAAAATTTTTGATTAAAAAGAGAGTAGATATCTGGCCCGAGATGCTCCAAAAATCCTTGTTATGTACAAAGTGCTTCAAATCCATAAGAACAGGGGCAGACTGACCATTCGAGCACTCGGGCACTGCCCGAGGGCCCGGGGTCAGTAGGGGGCCCCACGAAATGCCACTGGTACCTTTTATAGGCTTTTTTGGGTGTGCTTTGAGTGTGGGCAAGGACACAGGGGCCCCATGATCCCCTATTAACCGGGGGCCCCATGAGTTGTCAGTCCGCCCCTGCATAAGAAACACCCACCAGAGAGACCCATCATCAGCGCTGTAGACTCCCTGGGAGAGTATCTTGATATTTTCTACAACTGTTGGCTAGTAAGGGATCCGCCTATCCTAAGCATATTATTGGACCTTGATATGGCCATGTGTAATAATTTTTTTTGTAATGGAGGACAGTTTTTTAATCAGGACAAGGTTGTTGTGAAGAGAGCCAACATCTTTTTAAATAAATGGGAACATGAGTAAATTCATGGCAAGGTGTAGCTGCATCTTATTATGCTAGTTTGGCAGGGCAGTGAACACACCTTAGAGGAGTTCATACAACATATAAACCGAGATAACTATGGCTTAACATTCACAGTGAATGTACATAAAGAAAGTGTCAGTTTCCTAGACCTGGTTATCTTCAAATATAATAATGCACTAGACACCAGAACACATTTCAAGGATATGGATAGGAATGGCTACATTCCCATGAGTAGCTGCCACTTACCTAAGTGGAAGAAAGCCATTTCCAAAGGCCAATTTATGAGAATACACAGAAATTGCCTTCACATGCATAATTATTTGTTTTACCTTTTGTAAGGACCCCACTTTGAAAAAGATTCCTCCAAAGACACCACCATTCATATATAGGAGAGCCCTGGGTCTTCACACTAAACTGGTTCATAACATTTCTAATTCCCCAAAAAAGAAACTCTCCTTCTTTGAAGAGGGTGTTTCTATAGATGTGGGAGATGTGGTCCTTGCAAAAAATACAAAGAAGTTCCCTAGGAAAAAGACAGAGTTTATGTCAGACATTAAAACAATATCCTGTGAAAAAATGTATTACATGTAGAACTAGATTTGTTACATATGTTCTGGAATACATATGTGGGTACCAATATGTGGAGAAGACCACACACAAACTTACTAAAAGAATTAGAGAACATGTCACCAATATCCAATACACAGTGTCTCTAATAATTTCTACAGCATAATAGGGACCCTTTCTATCCTTTTATGCCATAGACAAAGTTGATAAACACCGAGGGGTTCAGAAATGAAAAAAGAAATATCACACAATGTAACATGTGTATTTACAAGTTGCATTGCCAACTTTTAGCATCCCTCTGTATCTACTTTTCTTCCCTTGTATTTGTATACACCATACCTGTTTTTTTTTTGGATCAAGAATATGATTATAGTCACAAGTCTTTTGAATATATATATATAGCTGTGTTTCTTGCAGGATCCCCCTTTAAACTTTTGGCAGAATGGGGAGTTCCTCTCTAAGATCATACACATAATAGATTGATATTTCATAATTTAGAGCTTATTGGGTTTTTTTTGGGCAGAGTTCTCCTTTAAAACTTACATTTTTCATTCACAGCAAAATGGAGCACTCCGCTTTAATCCATTTTGTTTTATTGGGATAAATAATATCATTATATTCATAAGTTTCTTAGATGTACACTGCTGTGTTTCTTGTTGAATCATCCTTCAAATTTTGGGTTGAACAGGGAGTTCCACTTTAAGACCATACACATAATAGATTGATGTATAACAACTTAAAGCCTATTTTTTGGGGGGGCAGAGTTCCCCTTTAAAATTTTCAGTTCAGGAGTTCCCCTTTAAGATCATATATTTAATATATTGATTCTGAATAATTACTTTTTTGGGATGAGTTTGGTTTATAAAGGTTTAATATTTTTTTTTTTTTAAATTGGGCAGTTTCTTTTTAATTTTATATTTAAAGAAGAGTGTACAGTCTCCTTTTCATTTTAGTCTCTTACCTTAAGCCTGCTTTTCAGTGGATTTATTCATAATATGCTTGCAGCTTCTATAGCCTATGGCCATACCACCCTGAATGTGCCTAATCTCAGATGTTAAGCAAGCTTGGGCATGTTTAGTACTTGGATGGGGCACCACCTGGGAATACAATGCCCCGCGAACATCGAGTGAGGGAGAGGCCGGAGTGAAGAAGGACAGCTGACAGGTAAGTGTGCCGTGCAGATGGTGCTGCTGCAACCAGGTATGCTGGCTGCAGCAGCACCATGCTGGAAAAGGGGTCAGCAAGTTAAGTGTCATTGGTGTCAGTGGGAGGAATAGTGCCCCATCATTGGTGTCACTGATACTAATGATGGGGCATTATTCCTCCCCCCCACTGACACCAATGACGAGGCACTATCCCCCCCCACTGACACCAGTGACGTACTATTCCTCCCACTGACACCAAAGATGGGGCACTATTCCTCCCACTGACCCCAACGTTGGGACACTATCCCCCCTCCCTACTGACACCAATGACGGGGCACTATTCCCCCCCACTGACACCAGTGACGTACTATTCCTCCCACTGACACCAAAGATGGGGCACTATTCCTCCCACTGACCCCAACGTTGGGACACTATCCCCCCTCCCTACTGACACCAATGACGGGGCACTATTCCCCCCCACTGACACCAATGACATACTATTCCTCCCACTGACACCAAAGATGGGGCACTATACCTCCCACTGACACCAATCTTAGGACAGTATTCCTCCCACTGACACCAAAGATGGGACACTATCCCCTTCCCCCCACTGACACCAATGACGGGGCACTATTCCCCCCCCACACTGACACCATACGATGGGGCACTATTCCTCCCCCACTGACACAAATGATGGGGCACTATTCCTCCCACTGACACCAATGATGGGGAACTATTCCTCCCACTGACACCAATGATGGGGCACGATTCTTCCCACTGACACCAATGATGGGGCACGTTTTCTTCCCACTGACACCAATGATGGGGCACGTTTCTTCCCACTGACACCAATGATAGGGCACTATTCCACCCACTGACACTAATGATGGGGCACGATTCTTCCCACTGACACCAATGATGGGGCACTATTCCTCCTACTGACACCAATGATGGGGCACTATTTCGCTCCGTAAGACACACTTGGGGGGAAATGTCTGTGCGTCTTATGGAGCGGCCGGCCCAGTATTCCCGCCGCCGTTGTATGTCCGCAGTCTCTGGTCATCTCCTGTACTGTGCCCGCAGTCTCTGGTCATCTCCTGTACTGTGTCCGCATTTGTTCATAGTTTTTTTTTTTTAAACTATAGTCCGGCCCTCCAGCGGTCTGAGGGACAGTGAACTAGCCCCCTGTTTAAAAAGTTTGAGGATCCCTGGTTTAGAGCAACACGGTTTATTTATGAAATTAGATTTTGTACTCAGTGGTTTGATTACATAGAACTTGTTTTAATCCGCAGTAGATAAATGTATTATTTATTTACACATTTTATGAACTGTAAACTACATTTTCCTAGGGTGTGAGATCTTTTTAGTTTCTCTGGGTCATCCATTTCAATGGACTGCAAATTGCACCAGAACACACAAAATGTAGGGCATTAAAAATGTGCTGCACCGAACTGCATAATACTGCGGTACCAAAAGATGTTTTACTGCATTTGCGATCTTGTGCCCACAGCAAATCACAAAGGCAGTATTGGCACCCACAATACTGGCACACACAGCAAACTGCAAAGGCAGTGTGTGTTGAACGCAGTGCAGGAAACGTGCACGGAAAGCACCTTTCCGCACTGCGTATTGATGTGAACTAGCTTCAGTCACAAGTGTTTACTGCCCTGTTGTCCTACAGAGGCTGTGTGCTCTCAGAATCCAGAGGAGTGATGTCAGAGTGACTGTAGGGGGCCTGTAGGATGACTACATGGGCACACCTGCAGCACCAGATTAGTGGTCTCCTGCACCTGGGACATGGACAGTGGACTTAAGCTGGCCATACATTATGCAATTTTCTTGTACAATTTTCTTTAGATTTACCTTCAACTATTTAGTGCAAGGGCCTGCCTGATTGCATACAAATTGAAAGTGTTTGGGTTTGATCTCATATTATATGGTTTTGGTAAATCTAAACAAAAACTGTACAAGAAAATTGTATAATGTATGGCCAGCCTTAGGTTAGTAAATCTTGCTTTGCAAAGTAAAAAAAATAAATAAGTAAATTAAAAAGAAAAAGAAATGATGGATGGGTTAGTGTGGGTGGGGTTCATGTTGTGCCCGAAGATGAAAAGAATCATGGACTCCTTTTTCAATTAAATACTAGTTTAATTCTTCTGATGAGTGACCTTACTGGTGCTCTTTAAAAGTAGTGTTTTTTATTTTTATCCATTTTTAATACCAATTTAATTTGCCATGTGTCTAAAAATATGTAGTTTGTAATTACAAGTTACCAGCACCTGTACGGTCCTTTTATGTGGCAGTGACATTGTTATGATACTTGGACTAGATCCATCTTCTGTAGAAAGGGTAAAAACATGTACAACTTTCCCAAAATTGATTAATTTATGGATAAGCACCTGTTCCCGCTGCTATGACAACTGTTCCAGCTGGTTTCATTAATCAGTCCTGAGACATTATCATCAAGGAGCTGGCTAAAGATTTGCACTGAATGAAAAACTCAATTCTAGCCGAAACCTTCTGCTTTCTTGTCACTGATTAACATTCCTTCTCACTTTCACTCCCCACATGCTCTAACACTGAGCTCATTTGTTTTTTCAAGTGTCATCTATGTAGTAGAACTACCGGTGTGCTGAGTCTTTTTTTCAGCGCAAAATGTGCTTTGTATAAAGAACGGATTTTTATTGACTTTATGTATAATAATTTTCTGTCATTCAGATGACAGTAGACTAGAGCAAATTAAAACTTAGCAGACTGCCAAAATGTCAGTCCTGGTGCAGGGAAAATGTCATCACTGTTGTATGCACTGAAGACAAAATGAAACTGCTGACCTGACAAAATGTTGTATATTTGGTACTTATCAGATTATTAGTTATTAAAATAACTTACTGCTTTGAATGTCAAAATGTTCAAACTGAATTTTTTTCAGAGCCTGGTATTTTGTTATAATTACTCTTTATATTATTATTATTATATTTTATTATTACACAGGATTTATATAGCGCCAGCAGTTTACTCAGCTCTTTACAATATAACAGGAGACAATACAGCAACAGTACAGTTCAATACAAGAGGGTTAGGATGGCTGTGCTCTTTGGAGCTTACAATCTATAACCAAAAAGAACCACTGAGCTTACCAAAAATAAACAAAAAATTAAAAATAAATAAATGTGATGTGTTGCATTTAATCACTACTCCAACACCCAACTAAGTATTAAAATATCACAAAGTGCAGCGCAACTTAAATATAATAAGTGAATAAACCATGCTTAATCTGTGCAAACAAAACTCATTAAAAATAATGTTATACACAAAAGCAAAAAAATATATAGATATGCATTCAATATGAAATCATGTGCAATTGCAAAATTGTAAAAAAAATTACCAAATGGATATTTCCAAGCCCCAAATAAATATTTAACCGAGAAAAAGAAAATCTTCAAAACTATTTTCAGTCCAAAATCTTCCTCTCAGCCTCGTGTCTCTTCAATAATGACAGTGCATAATGACATTCGTGCTCCATACAAATTGCAGAAGTGCTCCACCACAGTGTACCGCCACCTCTCACTGCTGCTGCTTACTTCAAGGTTAGGTTGAAGAATGCTTTCCCAGCCACCTGGGCTACAACTCCATAATAATCTTTCAAAGCACTTTAAGCAGGTATAGATCTCTTTAACATCTCAGGCTTCAACCCATTCAGCAAAGAAATAGAGAAAGTTCTCATGGTGCAGTATCAAACACACTAAGTGGTTTTATTAGCTAGACAAAATAAAAAAAAATACTCCCAAGAAAAGTGCACTAAAAAACATCCAGTGTACTAGGTAAAATCGCATTTATAAAATCACCTTTTTAAAATCCATATTGCCACTTAAGGATGAATGTCTATGACATGGATGTCAGAGATGGGTGAACTCAGACTTCCGAGCGTGAAGAGGTCATATAGCCCTGCCCCTGATGTGTTTCATCACGTGTTACAATGACGTAATCATCACTTTCTTACTGCTTTTGTTATTTTTTGATTTATGTAAATACTGTACTTGTGCAACAAAATTTCCCTATTTGGGGTAATTGCTGCCTCTACACTATGGATAGGCTCACATTACTGCATGTCAGGAATGCGCACATAATCAAGTGCACATAATCAAGCAGAGAAATGCACTGTTATGTAGCAGATATGCAGCGGTACTACAGTATGTAGGTGTGAACCAAGCTTTAAATATTATACATTGGTGTTTTAACCCCTTGGCCCCAGCACCTCCCAACCCTTTAAGAGGTTTCAGATACTGGGCAGTGGGGTTTCTGATCATGTGACCGTCGTGATTGGACATCACATCGGTCACATGATCAGAAAGCTCCAGATCGCCATAAGAGATTGGGAGCATTCCATTAGCCGCCAGTAACTGTGGCGGGAGAGCGCACAGTGCGCACTCAGCACAGTTCTGTTTACATTCTGGTATGCATATATGTGTTAAGGTCCACATGTCGAGAGGCTGCATATATGCATATGGCCGGTGTGAAGGAGTTAAGGACAAATAAGGCTAAAATTTAGTAGCAGAATTGTATGCATATATTTTATTTTCTTTATTTAAATTAGAAAGAAATTGTAGAACATTGGGAAAAATGTATTTCCCTGTAATTCTCACAACTCAACATTTCTATAATATACACAGCCCTAGATATTAACCCTAACATATAACCAATACAACCACATCTTTGATTAAAAGGAAATCACATACGTGTAAAAGTGAACATTTGCAGTTGCATATTACAGGAGCTTTATTTTATTTTCAACACTACATTGTAACAAAACAGGAGAGGAAAAAAATCTGTCAGTTGCCACGTGCTCATAGGCTGGTCCTGTCAGCTATTGATCTATAGCCTGGATTGAGAGCTGCCAGCAGCAGTTTGGTCTTTGTGTTGAGAGCGCACAGTGAGAACGCTCTCAGGACATAAACAAAGGCTGCCCGGTGACGCATATGTGCTACACGTGGGCATTAAAGCCCACCATTTTGCTGCCACACATATTTGTTGGGTGATTGTAAAGGGGTTAAGATAAGATCAAGTCAAGTTGTTTATGTCTGAATTTTTATTTGCAGCTCTGCAACAACATACCACTTTAATTAGTGATCAGGCAATTTTCCAGACATCTGTTTACCTAATAAATCAAAATAGAAAAAGCGCCACACTGTATCCCAATAAAATTATATGATAGCAGCAAAACCCAACCAAAAAATATTATTGGCAAAGTGAACAATATATAATAAAAGGCATGCGCTAAACAAAATATATATCCATATTATTAAATGTCCATAATCAATCTGTGCAACATAATTAAGTGTCCATAATTAATTTGTGCAAATCCAAAATTTTTTGGATATATATCACTCCTCTGTGAATTCATATATCAACATAATTAAATATGCATAATTAAATTGTGAAAATTCAAAATCAAAAAATTATAAAAAATCAAAAAATTATAAGAAAAATATATATCTCCTCTGTGAATTCATAAAATTGTGAATAATCCACCACCAGATAAATTAGATGGACTCACCAGAGCTATATGCTGCTCAAATTATAGAACAGCAATAGCGCTTTTGCTCTGGGAGTGATGGGTAAACGGTATCCAGGTGTTAATTGTAGTAACTTTTCAACCACATCCAGGTAAATACTAATGGTAATCGGATTTCATTGAAATAATCAATACTCTACAGCCATAGATCTCATGATGCATCTCTCCATTAACTCCGTATCTCCATATATGAATCTCACTCAGGGACAAAGGAAAAAGATTGATGGTGCAGTACGTTTTAAACACATGTAAATTTATTTAAAATGCCAAACAACTCACAAGAGAGGTGTCCAGACAGACACCAGCTTCACCAGCAATATACAGCACTGAACTGATAATGATCTCCGCTCACCGCGGATCACCTCCGACACACACTGCCAAAAGAGCGTCCGGACGTCAGCATCAAGTAGGCCAC